ATATATATATATTAAAATAAATCATAAAAATGCAATGAAACTAAAATGATTCTATACAGGTTACAAATAAATATATTTTTAAAATAAAAAATAATAAAAAAAAAGCTTAATAACAAACAAAAAATTTAATAAATGGCCTTTTATTTTTTCAGTTATTTTCCACTGTCAATTATATTAGTAGGAGTTGGTGATGGACCATGGGAAGACATGCACAAATTTGATGATAGAATTCCAGCTCGAGCCTTCGACAATTTTCAGGTATTATTTTTTATATAAATAATAAAGGTCTGTTTGGAGTAGCTAATTTGGTGCGATGGCGTTTTGAAAACGTATTGAAAACGCATCTGATCTGTTTGGGTAAACTGTGGTTTGGCAGCTTATGCGTTTTGAAAACGCTGAAAATAGTGTTTTTATACCACACATATCTAGGTGCGGTTGCAGCTTTCTGACAGCAGTTTGACGTTTCAAAAAAAAGAAAAAGTTGTAAAAGTCACCGCACCTAGCTTCTCTCCTTGTCAGAAGATTCTAAACAGACCCGAAAATTTTAATTTTTTTCCTTAAAACTTTATATTTGCAAATCCATCCACATGCAATATGCCATTAAAAATAATTATTTATCCTGTTTGTCTTATGGTGCTATATTGACTCAAGTTGCAATATTTAATGTACAATGCAATGCAGTTCGTTAACTTCTCCGAGATCATGGCCATAAAGGCTTGCTCAGCAAAGAAGGAAGCAGCCTTCGCCTTGGCTGCTTTTATGGAGGTTCCCTTGCAATACAAAGCTACTAAAGAACTCGGCCTTCTCGGGTATATTATATATTTATTAGCCCCATTTGATTATTAGTTCAATTTCATGAAAAATTTACATAATTACCAAAAAAATTCTTACACATTTACATATCTAAACTTTCAAAATTTGATATTTACTTTTACACCACGAAAGTATCATAAATTTATGCATCTATTTCAATTTTTAAAAGCTAGTAATTATGATATTTTTGATATAATCATTAGGGCCGTCAAAAAGCTCGTTGTTTGCGAACAGTTCGTGTTCGGTTAGTCAATAAGTTTGTGTTTGATTCGTTCGATAAGTAAACGAGACGAACGCGAACAATTTTTTTTCATTCAGTTAGTTAAACGAACCAAATACGAACAGTGATGCGTTCGTTCGTGTTCGAATCGTTATTGTTCGAAATATAAAATAATTTAAAATAATTATATATAAAAAAATTATGATATTTTAAAAATTAAATTTTAAAAATTATAATATATAATAAATTAATAATAATAATATATTAATATACTATATTAGTAATATACTAATATAGATATTGTATATTTATATAATATAAGTTATACAATTAATATAATATATTATTTATATATATTAATATTAGGGATGTCAAACTGGCTCGTCGTTCGCGAACAACTCGTGTTCGGCTCGTTCGTTATGAAACTAACACAAACAGTGACTTCACGAACAATTTCGAACGCGAGCTTATTTCAAACGAACCTAACATGAACACAAGCACTGTTCATTCGTGTTCGGTTCGTTTACACCCCTAATAATCATTGTTTAAAATGTAAATATTAATGTTTAGGTGTTAGATATATAAATACATAAAAATTGTTTGTAGTGCATGTGAATGCCCCTAATCTCATTCATTATTTACCAATTCCTCTTCCCTTAAAATGGATACAGGGTTACCACTGAAAAAGCCAAAAATGTAATATTTTACCCTCCTCCCCAATCTGTAAACCTAAGACGACCATCACATTACAGCATTGCTGATGATCGTAGAGAGGTGATAAATTATTTATTTATTTATATTTATGTCCAAACGCAAACAAACTGATAAATCTCTACTCTTTGCAGCAGCCTTGTCCGATCTGCTGGACAAATGCCATGGATTTGGCTTTAGGGTGTGGCCACACGGTAAGCTGCTTGCCTACAATTTACAAATATTGATTAATTTCAATATTTTTTATTAAATTAAAGTACTATAAATATAAATATTAAATACTAAATATTACGTATAGGGCTGTCAAAACGGCTCGTTGTTCGCGAACAGCTCGTGTTCGGCTCGTTTAGAAGCTCATGTTTGGCCCGTTCGCTAAGTTAACGAGCCGAACACGAACAACACGAATCAATATTTGTTCGTTTGTGTTCGGCTCGTTTTGGCTCGAAATACTACTAATCAATTATATATATATATCTTTGATGAGTAGTATTTTAAATAAATTTAATTGACTACAAAGCTACAAAGATTTATAATCAATTAAAAGCATTAATGAAGAAAATAGAATAACAAATATTAAATTATATTCAAATGATATAATATTGCCCCAATCCATAACATCTTATGACTGCGTGATTAGGCTTGTCAAAACGACTCTTTATTCGTGAACGGCTCGTGTTCAGCTCGCTAAGCAAACGAGCTGAATACGAACACATTTTTTGAGCTCGAAATATAAACGAGTCGAACGCGAGCTGAGCCTGGGCTCGCTCGTGCTCAGCTAGTTTACGCCCTTAATTACATATATGAAGACATAAAATTGTGCGGGTATGCATGCAAATTTTCGGAAGCCATAATTTTGCGTCAATTTATGGATGCAGTGCTGCAGAGCTTGTGGGAATAAATTGACGCAATGTCCAGTTTGCCGAGCAAATATCACATCGCGTCTCAGGCTATACACCGGTGAAGGAAAAGTAGGAAGATTTATCTTTATTTATTTATTTATTTATTATTGCTATTGGTTTATAAGTAGGAAGATTTATCTTTATTTATTTATTTATTATTGCTATTGGTTTTATTATAAAATAAAATAAAATAAAATATATTTGATATTCATAATTAGTTTAGAACAAGAAAATTTATTTTGAGAGTAAAAAAAAAAATAAATTATTTACATACGTACCATAAAATTGTTATGTATTTACATATCTAACATAAAAACATTCATATATATGCATTAACATCACATAAAAAATATAATGATAACTATCATTTGAAAAGTGAAATACATCTTTTTATGTATAGCTTTATGATACCAAGAGGCTATAAGTGTGAATATCAACCTTTAGGTGTTAGATACGTAAATACATAAGAATCATATAGCGTGTGTACGCTTCTCAAAATAAAAACATGCACAAAATACATTAAACATCTATGTTTATATATATATATATATATTAGATTTATTACCGATATGACTTTTTCATCATTTATATTTTGTTTTTATTAATTTATTGTATAGGATTCAAATACGTTAGCTGGAAAAAGGAGTTGTTCGGTTTACCGAAGAAGCCATGCAGTGCAAGAGAAATGCAAATGTATTGTGTATGATGGATATTTAGAGTTATTTGGCTATTAAATACATGTTTTTTTTTTAATTTTTTATTTCATTTTGGTTAGATGCATGCAGAGTCAAGTAAGAATTGTGAATTTTGAATACTTGAAAGTTGTTTGTTTGTGTGTAAATTTAATGCATAAATTTTAATTTTTATATTAACTAGTTATATATCATAAAATTTTATAAGAATATCGGCGGAGAAGAAGGGGAGCTCAGTGTCAGGAAGAAGATTGCTATGTATTGTTAAGAATTATAGTAGGAAATAATTTATTACTATTAGAAGTTTTGAGGGATATATTATTTCTTTAATATAAGGAGATATTTTATTTCCTATTTTATATTTATTTTTTTGGATTATGAAACATTAATTTTTCTATTTTATGTTATTTCATATATCTTCTAATAATTAATATGCATTTATTATTGGAGATATCAAGTGACATATCTTTCCTTTCATATCATTTCTTTGTTATTATTTTTCCTATTATAAGATTCTTGTAAGGGTTATTTATACACATGTTCATATCAATGAAAGAATAAAGTATCTCACTTTATTCCGCATTATTCTGAATTTCACATGGTATCAAAGCGGGAAATTTCAAAAAACCCTCTCCTTCTTCCTTGCAAATCCCGAAGAATTGCAAGAGGCGAAGCTTTCTCTTCCGTCGATTTAGCCGATGTTGTTCTGTCGCAATTCGCGAAACCTTCGGTCTCTCCACTGTTTCGCAATTGGCGAAATCGGCGACCTCCACCTGCGAAGCCCTCGTATTCTTCCATCAAGCTCGACGGTTCTGGAACCAGAGAACGACCTGCTTTGGATCAAGGCCGATCTCGGTGGCAAGTTTGACTTTCTGGCATGATTCGAGCTTGAGTCCCTTATCAAAATTCATCTTCAGGAATCTCTTTATTTTTTATCATGTTGGAAAAAAAAAATGATTCCGCTACCTCTATTCAGCCTTCCACCTTGTCATCTGCTTTCTCACTACCCTTCTCTAGAACCACCAAAAATCTTTAAGCCCAAATCATCACAATTCGTCTCAATGGTGATAATTTTCTACGTTGGTCAAAATCAGTGAGGATGTACATTAGAAGAAGAGGGACCTGCTTTGGATCAAGGCCGATCTCGGTGGCAAGTTTGACTTTCTGGCATGATTCGAGCTTGAGTCCCTTATCAAAATTCATCTTCAGGAATCTCTTTATTTTTTATCATGTTGGAAAAAAAAAATGATTCCGCTACCTCTATTCAGCCTTGCACCTTGTCATCTGCTTTCTCACTACCCTTCTCTAGAACCACCGAAAATCATTAAGCCCAAATCATCACAATCCGTCTCAATGGTGATAATTTTCTACGCTGATCAAAATCAGTGAGGATGTACATTAGAAGAAGACAGAAGATATGCTACATAACAGGGGAAGTTCGTGAGACAACCACTACAGATTCATCCCACGCAACCTGGGATGCAGAAAATTTCATGATAATGACATGGTTAGTGAATTCTATGGAAGAAGAGATAGGCGCAAACAACATATGTTACTCTACTGCCAAAGAACTCTGGGAGAATATGGCCCAAATGTATTCAGATACGGGCAACCAATCTCAGGTTTATGAACTATCCCTAAAACTTGGTGATATTCGTCAAGGTAATGATTCTATCACAAAATACTTTAATCCTTTAAAAAGAATATGACAAGACCTTGACATGTTTAATGATCAAGAGTGGAAGTGCCCTGATGATGCTAGTAGATATAAGACCATTGTTGATGCAAATCGAATTTATATTTTTTTTGTTGGACTTAATGAGGAGTTTTACGAAGTTAGGGGCAGAATTATTGGGAGAAGACCCATGCTTTCAATCCATGAGGCTTTCTCAAAAGTCCGCCTCGAAGAAACTCGAAGAGGAGTGATGCTCAACAAGAAATCCACTCCTACTAGCATACCTGAGACCTCGACATTCCATCTAAGGCTCATGTCAGTAAGCAGACTGTCCCATATTCAGAAGAATGAAGAGAAATCCCGGTGTGGTGTGATCATTGCAACAAGCCACGACACACTAAAGAAACCTGATGGTACATCTACGGTAAACCGACAGATTAGAAGCCAAGAAACAAGCACAAGCTACCTACTGCCAATGTTGTTGTCGAACAAACCAGCCCATTTAGCAAAGAGCAAATCGATCAAATCCTGAATCTGCAAAACCCTAGTTTGGCTACTGGTACTCGTCGAACAAACCAGCCCATTTAGCAAAGAGCAAATCGATCAAATCCTGAATCTGCTAAACCCTAGTTTGGCTACTAGTACTCGAAATTGTTTCATGTTCTGACCATGAAAATGTTTGTATTGCTGACAGTAGTTTCTCTTCCATTGCTGGAAAAGGAAACATTAACTTGTCCAAGAGTATATGTCTTAAATTTGTACTCCATGTTCCAAAATTCAAATGTAACATTCTATCCGTCAACACACTTTCAAAAGATTCTAACTGCCGCGTAACTTGTCCAAGAGTATATGTCTTAAATTTGTACTCCATGTTCCAAAATTCAAATGTAACCTTCTATCCGTCAGCACACTTTCAAAGGATTCTAACTGCCGCGTAATTTTCTGTGAATCTTCTTGTGTTTTTCAGGACCAGAAGTTGGGGATGATGAATGATAGAGCTAAAAAGATAGGAGGACTTTACTACTTTGAGGAGATTATTCCTAGTGAAAAAAGGGTTTAAGCTTACAGCAGTATGGGTTCGAACCCAACAGTAGAAAAAATAATGGAATTGCATCTTAGACTAAGTCATCCAAGTTTTTCTTATTTACGACATTTATTTCCTAATTTGTTTAAGGGTGTTAATTGTGTTTTACTTCAAAGTGAAATGTGTTATTTGACAAAAAGTCATCGTATAAGTTTTGCTACAAAATCATACTATCCTTCAAAACCTTTTTTCATGATCCATAATGATGTTTGGGGACCTTCAAAAGTCATAACATTATTTTAGAAAAGGGGATTTGTGACTTTTATTCACGCATACTATCCTTCAAAACCTTTTTTCATGATCCATAGTGATGTTTGGGGACCTTCAAAAGTCAAAACATTATTTTAGAAAAGGGGATTTGCGACTTTTATTCACGATCACACTAAAATATGTTGAATATGTTGGGTTTATCTTATAAACAAAAAATCAGAAGTTGAAAAACTTTTTAAAGATTTTTACAAGATGATTGAAACTCAATTTGAAACTAGAATATGCATCCTTAGATCTGATAATGGAGCTGAATGTTTTAATAAATGTTTATGGGAGTTTTTGATAAACAAAGACATAATTCATAAATCTACTTGTCGTGACATTCCAAAATAAAATGAAATTGCTGAAAGAAAAAATAGACATTTAGTTGAGGTTGCTCGTGCTATTATGTTTTCAATGCATGCTCCTAAATACTTATAGGGGGACACTGTTTTAACACCATCATATTTAATAAACTGAATGTCAACTCAAGTTCTACAATATACAACTCATCTAAACAAACTGAAAAACATTTTTTCAATTCTACAAATGTCTTCAAATATTCCTTTAAAAATCTTTGGATGCACATGTTTCGTTCATATTCCGGATAGATTTTGATCAAAATTGGATCCAAATTTTGAAAAATGCATTTTCCTTAGATATGCTTTAAACAAAAAGTGATAGAAATGCATTAGTCCTGTCACCAAAAAAACTTACATTAGTATGAATGTGATTTTCATGGAAAAATCTTCCTTCTTTCATAGAAATCCACTACAGGGGGATTATAATACAGATGAAGAAGAAGATTTTTGGCAAGTTTCTAATGCATTACCAAGAGTTGTTCTAACACCAAGTACACCTGAAGTCCGTGAAAACAAATAACTAGAAATAGTTGATGAAAATAATAAAAATCAGGAGAATCCTAGTGAAGAGACACCTGAAATTATCTCATCTAATACAAGGGGAGAAATAATGCATAATACAACAACAAAACATCTGGGTTATTCCAGGAAAAAGCTCCATAAAAGGCAAAATGTCAAAATTGAAGCTTTAACTTCCTCCCAATCTGAAGAACCGAATGATGGTCCTCAAGAAACATAGGTAAGTTCCAATGCTGACCTTATTTTTTCACCTACAAAAGCTCAAGATTTTGAGGTTATGAATCTGGATCTTCCTAGAGCCTTTAGAAAAGTAACACGTTCTTGTACTACCAAATATCCCATTTCAAAATACCTATCCTACAAAAAAAATCTCACACAAACATCAAACTTTTTTTGTCAAAAATTTCTAATATGTCTGAACCCAGAACAATGCAGGAAGCTCTTAGTAATCTAAATTGGAGAATAACAGTAAAGGAAGAGATGGATGATCTTTTGAAAAATAGAACCTGAGAAGCTGTCACTCTACCAAGAGAAAAGTCTAATGTTCGGTGTAAATGAGTCTTCACCACTAAAGCCAAAACTGATGTGAGTGTCAAAAGATATTAAGCAAGATTGGTAGCAAAATGATGCACTCAAACTCATGGAATTGACTATCAGGAGGCATTCACTCTGGTAGCCAAGATCAATTCCATTCGTGTCCTACTGTCCATAGCAACAAATCGTGATTGGCCCTTGCATCAGTTCGACGTAAAAAAATAATTTTCTAAACGATTAATTAGAGGATGAGGTATTCATTGATCTCCACTTGGATTTGAGAAGAAGTTTGGAGAAGATAAAGTGTGCAGATTGAAGAAATCTTTGTATGGGCTTAAGCAATATCCTCGCGCAGAGAGGTTTGGAAATGTGATTACAAAATATGGATACACTCAGAGTCAAGTTGATCATACTATGTTCTATAAACATTCAGAAACTGGTAAACTCGTCATACTCATTATTTATGTCGATGATATTATCCTTACAGGAAATGATGATAGAGAAATTGAGACATTGAAAGAAAGATTGGCCATAGAATTTGAAATAAAAAATCTGAGAAATGTAAAGTACTTTCTCGGCAATGAGTTTGCCAGATCTAAGGAGGGGATCTTTTTTAATCAGCGAAAGTATGTACTTGACTTACTCAATGAAACCGGAATGC